AAAAAGGTGACCGAAAGAAATGCAGCAACTGGAGTGGAATTTCTTTAATACCAGCAGTTTTCCAAATTTTCAACAAAATAAGTTTAGAAAGAACCGCGGTAACATTAGATGAGCTTATTCGTAAAACTTAAGCAGGTTTCCGCCCAGGGCACTCGTGCATCGGCCAAATTAACACCATTAGAATACTTATTGAACAAGCCTCGGATTGATTTTATTGATTTTGAAAAGGCGTTCGACGCGCTTAAGAGAAGTTACATATAGCTAGCATTAAACGCTAAAGGTAGATTATTAGCAACAGAAACAAACAAATTTTTTTAACAACTACGTTTTACTGCCAGAAACAGAGACGAATGGAAGAAGTTTATAAATATTATTTGTGAATAGACTAAGTTCTAATTTTTAAATTTTAATTTTTATAATAAAGAACATGTCTTAATAATAATACTAATTGAGAACAACGGCTCGAAGGCTATTCAACCGATCCAAGCGCACTGACTACTGGACCGAGTATAGAAGCACTCTCACTCTCTATAATAAGGAAATTAGGAGAGTAAAAAGAGAAAGCTTCAGGAAGTTCTGTAACAGCATAGAACACAGTACGGAAGCAGCAAGACTCTGCAAAGTATTGGCTAGAGAGAAAACACTCTCCTGAACCAATTTGAAAAAAAAATGAAAATACGTACACGGTAGGTGACGAGGGAAGGATCCAATTACTTCTCGAAACTCACTTCCCAGAATCCTTCAGCATGGAGGAACAAGAAACTGAGAACACCAATCAGGAAATTTGTCGAGCAACAGATAACCATTCAAAGCACCTGGCATAGATGGTATACTTTCGGCACTTATTCAATAGAGAATAAAATACCTGCTAACCCCACTGACGAAGATAACAAGGGCTAGCATTGCGTTTGGGTATATACAAAACGACAGGAAAAAGGTAAAGGTGGTTTTCATACCAAAAACAGGTAAGAAGAATCCACTCCATTCAAACATTCAGACCCATTTGCCTCACACCCTTCATGCTAAAAACAATAGAAAAAGTTGTGGATAACTTCATCAGAACGACAGCACTTGTAACTACCCCATTACATCCATGCCGAAATGTTTACGAGGCGAAGAGATCCACTGAAACGGCATTGTTTGAGTTGACAAACATGATAGGGGACAGTATAGAAGAGAAGGAAACAGTAATATCCGCTTTCTAGATACATAAGGTGCCTTTGACAACACGCACTAGTATAGAAGATAGATATACGCACTAATACGGGTATTTTATTGTTATCGGCAGGCCAATATGTTGGCTGCCAAGAAGATATTATGTCTATCGCATTTTTCCTATTTAAATTGGAAATGTAAAGCTGTTTTCCATCCACATTTTCTCGGGTCATGAAATTTGTAAGTTAAAGTTTATGTTGGCTTAAGCCGTTTGCATTCCATGTACAAATTTTTAAAGTACTCATTATTTAGACAAAAATATTTGCATTAATTGGCTTTGCATTTTAATTATCTCGTTAAGAGTAGTTTGCATGATTTACATGAACTGAGTTAAGCTCTGGGTGAGAGTGGTGATCATCATCTTCAAACTATTATTTTGAACTGGAGGGGCTTGTTGATTGTCAGATTTAACTACATTAGAATATAAAACAAGTTAAAGATTTGGACACTTCAACTAATTTAATGGGGTAGCTTTTTGTACGATTACGCAACGCTTCTTTCTGCAGAGCTAACCTGTGCTTCAGTTCTTTATAAATAGGACAGCCTCTGTAGTTTGCGGTGTGATTTCCACTGCAGTTGCTAGATTTTATGGAATTGGAATCCTTTAATGCCTTTTTATCACATTCGGAGTTACGGTGAAGCTCGCCACATGCTATGCACACTGAGCGAAGAGTGCAATAAGACTTAGTGTGGCCATACTCTTGGCTGTTTGTGCATTGCACTGGACCATTTCGCTTGCATTTGTGATTTCAATAGGTTCTACATCTGACTCAATACTTTTGATAACGACAACAAGGCCTTTGCTACTTTGGTAAGCAGTAATAATATATTTTCAAACGCTATATTTAACGCTAGCAGCTGAAATATAAAAGAAGGATGGTCTAAAAAATTTATACAGGAATTATTCAAACTACAACTACTACAACACTTCATGATGACATCTTTAATAATTAATATTATTATATATTTCATAAATTTTATTTTATCATATTAATCATATTATTCTTAAAATTTTATTATTATAACTATTTATGTAATAGCTTCTCTAAATTATGGCCCCCGGCAGAATGTTCAATCATGAACATGAATTATTTTATTATATTATTATATTATATTATTATAGTTTATTATTATATCGTCTAAATTCTGTTATCGCTTAAATTCCTAGAATTATAAAACTAAAAAACAAGGGTAAAAAATACAATATTATTATTATACATTAGCAAACATTGTAATATGGCGTTTACATTGGCCGAAAATGGCTCATTTTGAATGAGCCATTTGAAAGTGTTTACATTCGTTCTAATTCATTTGTTCTCATTTCAACAGCTGATTTTTCAACTTGCATGTTGATTTGATTTTTGGCCTGTGCCAAAAAAATGTTGCATGAAGGTTAAATATGCCTTCAAACCTTACATTAGAAACTTAAAACATATTTTTAATTACTTTTTGGGAAGTAAAAGTTCTAAAAAGCAGTGCATCGTTTTCAAGAAAATGCAACCACCAAACATTTGTTTACCTTTTTTTGTAAATATGTTAAGAACAGCTTTTTCAAACTGTCAAAATGCCATGAAGAGCTTTCATTTAGGGTATGTTCAATGGATTCCTTTGCATTTGGAACGTATGTGGAATGCATTCGAACGTCATTCATACAGAATGTGAGAAAATTGCTCATTTTTGCGCTTGAAATTTTATATGCAAGAATGAGCCATTCGATACTCATTTTCGATTTTTGACCAAAATGAGCCATTTTCGGCCAATGTAAACGCCGTATAACATTTAATTATCCGTATCTAATTATTATAATAAATTTGTAAAGTATGTGACGGTTGCATATTCACATTAATGTTTAAAATGATATAAGTTGGCCATGCAAACTCGGACAAGTAAATTATTGAAAATAAGATGAGTTGGCCATAAAAGAAAATTTTTAAAAACTAATAATATTTTTATTGAGTAAAAATAAGGTTGTCATTCTTTTTACGGTTTGGGAAAACTAAGAATAAAACAACAGACACGTGTAATTTCAACACACAAAATTTAGTAATTATTTATTGCTTTAATAAATAAATAAAGAATTAAATTAAGTAGGATAAGCCTACAATTGGTGACCCCGACGTGATCAAAAATGTCGCAAGTCGAAGCAAGCAATAATAGTAAACTGAATAGAAATAACATTCTTGCAGATAGTAATGTATCAAATGATTACTGAAACGAACAACCTCGAGGTGACATTTGTCGTATCGGAATCAAAGCACCAGCATTCTGTAAGAGAGATCCAGACCTCTACTTCATCCAGATGGAATCCCAATTCAGAAACGCAGAAATCACAACTGACCAAACCAAATATGATCATGTAGTCGGCAGTCTTGACAGCGCTACTTTAAGATATATCGCGGACATTGTTCGTGCTCCCCCTGTTGTAGAAAAATACGAAGCAGTTAAGAAGCCATTAATTCAAGACTTTGCAGACTCCGAAAATCGAAAACTGCGGCGACTAGTTCAGAAGTGCCAGTTAGATAATAGTAAGCCAACACATTTGTTGCGCACCATGCGAGATTTAGCCAGCGGCGCCATGAATGATGGAGCAATTAAACAATTGTGGCTGGATCGTTTGCCAGAAGCAGTGCGAGCAGTCGTTTCAATTTCGGAGGCTGACTTGGACAAATGTGCGCAACAGGCAGATCTGATGTTGGAAATGGGAAACTACAATTCTGTAGCTGTTATCAACACATCTGCACAGAATAATGATCACATCATGAAAGCCATAGACGCCTTGAGTAAGCAGATTGCGGAGATAAAAACTGCACAAAGACGAAGCAGAACAAGATCTCAAACTCCAGATCGCAAGCGACGT